CAAACAAGCAGCGGCTCTTTGGTTGAATTTCTCCAGTTTGCCCAGGTCCCAAAGAAAGGGCTGGCAATAAGTTGACCCAAACTGTAGGCAGACACAGCCCAGCCCATCAGGTCAGCGTCCGCGGCAGGATTCAGCTGTGCAAGTAAAAATAAATATAACTTATTATGATTGTAGATAATATCTCTAAGTCGAAACATAATATATATCAGTGAAATTACTTATTATTCATTCAAATGAGAAGTCAGTCCTGTTGTAAGGATGTGAGACATGGAACGCATCACAAACTTGCATAAAGAGGATCCAAGTTTTCTTGAACAAGTGTCTAAGAAAGTTACTGAGGATCAGATGGACAGACGGGATCACCAACGAGGAAGTGTTAAGGAAAACGAGACGGATTCCAGTCAGATATGAGGTAGGAAGAAGGCGGTGGCAATGGATTGGACATACTCTCAGAAAGTTAGGCAGCATCATCAAAGAAAATGTTGGATTGGAATCCTCAGGGTAGAAGATCAAGGGGAAGACCGGATGGAACCTGGAGAAAAATTACAGACATTGATGTACAGAAAAGTGGGAAGACGTGGAATGACATCAAGAGGCTAGCCCATGATAGAGAAAGGTGGAAAAGTGTTTTTTCGTGGCCTCTACCCTGGTGCAGGGTGAGAAAGGCCATGATGATGATGACTTAATATTCACTACCTTCTTCTCACACTAGTCGTTATGTCCTGTGGGTCTTCTATTCAGCCTCCCCCCCTCGCCCCCACTCTCTTGTCATCATCATCATCATCATCATCACCACCATCATCATCATCATCATCATCATCATCATCATCATCGTCGTCGTCGTCGTCGTCGTCGTCGTCGTCGTCGTCGTAATCGTCGTCGTCGTCGTCGTCGTCGTCGTCGTCATCATCATCATTGTTGGAAAAGGTAGGTAGCATGGAGGGTCTCGGTGGGCCATTGACAATTTAGGGTCAAAATAATCACTTAGACTGTTTTCCTTCTCGCTAAAAGTTACATTTTCAGAACTTACCCTGGTGTTAGAGGGTGCGGTGGGGAAGCGGTTAGTGCGCTCGTCTCCGTAGTGGAAAGTCAGGGTTCGAGCCTTGGTTCGGACACGGATTTTTTTCGCCCCCTCCTGCCAACCCAGCAGTAATGGGTACCTGACTTCGAGTTGGGGAAGTAAAGGTGGAGTGGAAAGGAAATGGTCACCCTACCACAATATGCCGAAGCCCCAGGAATTTGTCTCACTAACAAGGCAATCCCCTATGTCCAGATCGGATGCGAGACAAACTTTACTTTTACCCTGGTGTTATCAATGTTACTGAATTCAAACTTCCAGTTGGTGTTAAACAGAAATAATTCTATCTTCTCATAGTTCATCTTTAGTCTCTTATCATTTTCAATGCAACAGCTCAGGCTCGTCAATAAGTTGGTCAAATCAGACTTTGAACAGGACAATTATAAATGTTTATATGAAAGCAATGTAAAAAAAAGACCCCCCCCCCCCAAGAAAAAATGTCTTGTAAGTGTATAAACTTAGGGGAGAGGTGACCTTGAATATCCACTACTTCAGTGTGACACCTGCACAGTGTCGTAATCCATGGCTCGTGTGATTAGCCCATCGTTTGACGAGTAAAGAATACAGGGAACCGTCATTAATGTATACTATAAGTAACATGATTAACATAATTAGAATCCACCACAATGTACCGGTAAGCCTCCCTCAAGTTGTTTCACTCGTGTTCTCACAGGTGTACACACAAACACCCCCCACCCACACACACACCAACACACATGTATCTCTCTGTCTTTGTCTGTCTGTCTGTCTGTCAGTCTGTCTGTCTGTCAGTCTGTCTGTCTGTCTGTCAGTCTGTCTGTCTGTCTGTCTGTCTGTCTGTCTGTCTGTCTGTCTGTCTGTCTGTCTGTCTGTCTGTCTCTCTCTCTCTCGTGTTGAGGGAAGATCCACATGAGAAAGCTCTAACATTTTCAAAAGATGATTAAGTTCAGTGAAAATAAAATAGCAACAAAAATGTGGTTTCTTTGGAGACTGCTGAGAATAATTATTAAAGTGCAAGGAAAAGAAATCAAATGAGGTAGTGTTTGATGAAGCCCACGTGGGACGCTCACTGTTAAAAACAATCTAAATCTAAGGAATCGACAAAGTTTTTGGGACACCTGAATAGACATAAAGGTCTTGAACATCTAGCTCTCACTGGCAAAATCGAAGGCAAACGAGGCAGGGGTAGGCCCAGAGCAACTTACTTAGGGAACCTATATGAATGGATAACGGGGAAAAATTAGGGAAAAGTAACTTTTTAAAAATGCATCCGAGCAAAGTGATGAATGGAGAACCATGATCGCCGATGTCTGTCGCAGATCTGGCACTGGATTATGATGATGACTAAGTTTTTCCATGGTATAGACAATTTAACTGTTTTGCTCTAGCTGTAGGGTTTGTTTTTTGTTTGTTTTTTATAACTCTCCTAATCCTATGCGTTAATGAGATTTCCTCCACCGTCTAAGCTTGCCTGCGGGACTGGATTCCATTACGTGATGTGCTGAGCTGAGAGCTGACTGATCACTGTTCTTGGAATGCTTTCTTTAGAACTGGGGTCATCTAAATAAAAATAGTGGTGTCGGTGATCGAGTCGTGATGCTCTCGTTAGGTCGTGGTTTGAATCCTGCCAAAGGCCCGGCGTTGTGTCCTTATAAGGCACTCTACAAGAATTTACCTCACTTCACTCAAGTGGAAATGGGTAGCTTACTGTGTGTGTGTCTCTGTCTGTCTGTCTCTGTCTTTCTCTCTGGTCTCTCTCTGACTCTCTCTCTCTCTCTCTCTCTCTCTC